GTTGGCACTCCATGTGGCTGGGAAAGAGAGAGAGCAAGAAAAGAACAGAGAGAGAGCTAGAATAGAACAGAGAGAGCAAGAGAGAGAGCAGAAAAGAGCAAGAGAGCAGAAAAGAAGAGCAAGAGCAAGAGAGCGTCTGGACCTGGGCTAGGCCTTATGTAGGGTATGGGCAGGGAAAGGTGTGGCCACATCAAATTCAGATGTGACCTCAGCGGATGCAGATGTGACCTCTTCCAGGTGTCCCAGTTGCCTAGGTAACGCAGGTACTGGGTGGAGACTTTGCTGCGAGGAGGGTGGAGTCTGCTAGCCATCTAGGAGCGGACCTTACACTCAGCACCACATAAGCAGAAAAAGCCAGAAGTGGTGCTGTGTCCCAAGTGGTAGAGTGCTAACCTTCAGCTGAAGAGCTGAGGGACAGCATCCAGGCTCAGAGTTCAGGCCCCACGACTGAAAAAAAATTGAGAAATAAAATGTTACTCAACCTCTATTAGCTTCTACTTATCTAAAAAAATCTACAAATAAAAACGAAGTCTTTATATTTAAGACCATCCCCATTCCACACTACAATCTGCTCTAATCTTCTCTTTAATACTATTACTGCTCCAAACCACCTTTACTCAAACTATTCCTTCAGCTCCAGAGCCCTCCCAGCCCTTCATCTCTACCAGGCCAACACAAGATATATGGAGTGGTTAGTATATGCAAGGCACTGTTAAAACTCTATGGATCTTTGAATGTCCTATTCCTGTGCTACTTGGTCCACAAACCCTTTTTATTCCTCTCCAAGGAAAATGGTACTTGTATGAATGGTTAGTTCTCCTAACTTCTCATAAGAAGTGTGAAGATTTAATGACTTGTGTTTTGTCTTCCTTTCCCCACATGTGTGCCCGGTACATAATAGGTCCTCAGTAAAATACAGAGTAATTTGGAAAATCAATATTAGGAAAGAATGTACATGGGTGGAATGCAAAACTGGCAGGGATGCAGGATACAGGAAAACAGAAAATCAGCTTGTCAGAGGAAGAGGTATCTCCTCCCTTGGGAGGCTCTGCCAATAAGCCGGGGAGGATGGAAATACCATGGCACAGGGAATAGCATATGCAAAGGACAAAAAGACCCAAAGCCCTTGTGAGTTATTTGAAAAATGCCTAAAGCAAAAAGGGGCCCAGCTCATTCTCTTGGGATTTCTTGGAACTCTGTGGCATTTAGAATGTATAGATGTATGAAACAAGATGCATAGAATATGAACATGACCTCTAGGGGTGGGAGTGGGGGTGGGGGTGGGGAGAAAGGAGAAACCCATCATACAGGACTACACGATAACCACTCACTGATGGGGATTTACTAGATGGAAAGGGGAAGAGGACGATGAGCAGGCAGGCGAGCTGACAAACTGAAGACAGGAGAAGCGAGCTCCCCAGAAAAGAGCTTTCTCAAGACCCCAAATTATATGGTTCAAGGCCAAGCCAGGCAAGAAGAACCTGCAGGTTGGCCTGAAAATTTGCTCTGAGGACCCAACATCAGTACTTCCCCCCCCCGCGACTGTCTTTTCCGACACCTGATTCAACTCTGAAGCTGGGATGCTGAAAAAAACAAAAAACAACCCTACACCCCTCGTCCTTGTGGGGCCAAACCTCAAGCTACCCTCACCCTCCTTTCCCTGCTCTCACTTCCCGCTTCTCTTCTCCGGAGTCTCACAACTTCTCCCAGTAAGGCGCGCTCGCGGACACCCTGGCGGGCAGGAGGGAGGGTCCTGAGACCGGAAGCTGGAAGCCCCAAGCCGGAAGCCGGAAGCTAGGCTGTGAGGACGTGTTCCGAGGAAGCCGGAGCCGGGATCCGCCGGCGACATGGAGCCGCTGTACCAACAAACGCACAAGTGAGGGAGCGCCGGGGAGCGGGAGGGTCCTAGGCCAGGCGGAGCCAGCCCGCGAGGCCGGAGTCTCGGCTGTCCGCCCTTGTGGAGGCCGGGTCCTTCCAACTGGGGCCCTCGGAAGTTTTCATCCCTTGACAGGATCCCCAGGCCAGTCGCCCACGGCGGCTTTGGCCTGGCGTCTGGGGACGGGAGGCCGAAAGGCTTCTGGCGTCTGCCAGCTCTGATTACCTGCTGGGTAGACTGTCTGAAAGGAAAGTATCAGTCACAAATGTAGTACTTGGTTCAGCACCTGCCATCTCGGCACTGCAGGTTTGTGAGGAGAGACAGCGACTTCTGGTCCACAGGAGTGCACTATTGGATGGTCAGGAGGAGGACGAAAAAGGCATTTCTAGTTTTATTCTGCTTTGGTATATATTAAAGATCATGTCTTACAATACAAATAAATTGTACAGGTTGCACTCACTGATTAATCATATGCCTTTAAGGAAATTGAAATTGATCTTTGGTTTAGCTTTTCATAACTAAAATTCCTTGATGTATCACTTATTCATATTGTAGTTTAGCCTAGTAATAAGGGTTCTTGCCATCTTATTTTCCTTGCGATTTGCTTTGCTCTTTCTTATTTTGGTGAAATCTAGGTAGCACACCACTGACCACTGTAACCATTAAGTACTTCAAAACTTAAGGAATCCTGGAATCCTGGCTCTAGTGACAGAGCACCTAGCAATCTCAAGTACCACAAAAAAAAAAAGAAAGAAAGAAAGAAAGGAAAAAGAAAAAAAGAAAAGAAAAGGAAGAAAAAGAAAAAAAAAACCCACAATCACATAACCACTATCACATTTCCAGAACTTTTTCATCATCCTATATAGAAACCTTGTACCTACTAAGTAGTAATTGTACATTTCTCCTACCCAGAGCCCTCTTTATCTAATGTTAATGTTCTTCTTTCTGTTCCTATTCTCTTGTAAGTGGAATCACACAGTTTTTGTCCTTTTGTGTCTGGCTTATTTCTGTGAGCATGATGTTTTCAGGGTCATCTATGTGGTAGCATGTATCAGGTTTAATCTCTTTCTGAATGAATATTCTGTTATATATTACAGACCACATTATTATTTATTGTCCATTTATCTATTGACAAACACTTGGGTTACTTCCACCCTTTGGCTATTGGGAATAATGGTTTTATAAATCTGGTTTGTGAGTATCTATTTTAGGCCCAGTTTTCGAACATTTTAGGCATAGTCGGGCACTGATGGCTTATGCCTGTAATCCTAGCTACTAAGTAGGCTGAGATCTGAGGATCATGGTTCAAAGCCAGCCCAGGCAGGAGAGTCCATGAGACTTTTATCTCCAATTAATCACCAGAAAACTGGAAGTGGTGCTGTGGCTCAAGTGGAAGAGCTCTTGCCTTGAGCTGAAAAGTGCAGCCCCACAACTGCCAAAAACAAAACAAAATCCATTTTAGAGGTGTGTGTGTGTGTGTGTGTGTGTGTGTGTGTGTGTGTGTGTGTGTATAAACATAGATATATACATGTGTGTGTTATGTATACACGTATACACATATGGTTGTCTGATGCTAGCCTTAGACTTCAATTGTAATTGGGATTATGTAGTGTGAACCATCATACATGACTTATTTGTTGAGATGGGGTTTCACTTTTTGTTCAGGCTGACTGTAAACCCTGATCCTCCATAGTAGCTGGGATTACAAGTATGAGTTGCTGTACACAACCCCTACTCGTCCTGTTTTTAAACCTTTCAGTTGGATGCTGTAGATGTGTGTGTGTTGTGTGTGTGTGTGCAGTACGCATGCATGTGCGCAATCACACATATGTCAGTCTTACAGCTTGAACTCAGGTGCTGTCCCTGAGGGTTTTTTTTTGTTTGTTTGTTTGTTTGCTTATGGCTAACATTCTACCACTTGAGTCATAGCTCCACTTCTGACTTTTTGGCAGTTAATTGGACATGAGCATTTAACAGACTTTCCTGCCTAGGCTGACTTCTGAGAGCCTGTGATCCTGAATAGCTAGGACTATAGTCTGAGTCAATTAGTAGATTTAATCTGATGAGAACAAACACTTTCCATGGCCTGACAATGAAATGAAATAAAGAAAAGCAATGCTATGGAACACTAGGAACAACAGTAAGTTTATTAGGTTCTTACTTTGGCCATGAAGTGTTAGATTTGGGTGGGTAAAACTAAAAGAGAAACTACCTTGTAATTGATAACTGGATTTGTTTTTATGCTGTGGATCCTGATAATACAAAAATTATAGCAAGAGTCTTGGAAAAAAAATTAGTCTGAGTCATTTGGAAAAGAAAGGACAGATCTTTTACAGTACCCAGGCATATGGGTGTGGTAGTGCCTTGAAGTTCATCTGTTGCTGAATGACATCAATGGAACTTATTATTGGAACTATGAACCCAATTTGTTATCTCTTGTTATTTCCATGGAAATGGAGTAGATGTAAATTGTTTTAAAGTTATATATCTCAGAAACCTCTCAACTCATTGCACAATAAATGAATAAGAAAAAGGTGAAAACAACTTTTTACTCCAATACTTTTCATTAATTACAGAGGCATTAATAGGCAGGTTTCTGTGTATTTTTTAATTCTTTAAAAAAACTACATGTGCATATGTTATATTTTAATTTTAAAAACTCCCCTCTATTGCTTTCTCTTTCTTCAGATTTCTGTTTTTGAGATTACAATGGTTATAGAAATGCTCACATTTGCAAATCTTTTTCTTTTATGTTATGGTGCTGGGGATCAAACCTAGGGCCTTGCATATATTAGTCAGCACCAAGTTTTCCTTTTTCTGTTTTGCATTCTCATGAAATAAAGGCTGACTGTATAGGTAAGATGAAAATTATGAGGTGGTCCTCATTATTTTATTTAAATGTTTATTTTATTTCGTGGGACAGGGTCTGTTTTAAGGCCCATGCTAGTGGAGCTCACATTCCTTTTGCTTCAGTTCCCAAGTAGCCTGGGCTGGTGAGTTTGATTAACCTTTTTCCCACTGCTACTGAGCTTGAACTTCAGCATCCATCTCTCACTTTCTTTTTTCTTTTTTTGTCGGTCGTGGGGCTTGAACTCTGGGCCTGGGCGTTGTCCCTCAGCTCTTCAGCTCAAGGCGAGCGCTCTACCACTTGAGCTACAGCACCACTTCCCCATCTCTCACTTTCTTGCTCATAGTTGGCACTCTTCTGCTTGAGCCATACCTCCAGTCTAGCATTTTATTGTTTAATTGGATGTTGACTCTAAGAGACTTTTCTGCTCAGGCTGGCTTCAAGCTCTGATCCTCCAGCCCTCAGCTCCTGAGTAGCTAATATTACAGGTACAAGTCACTGATACTAACCAGTTTCATTTAAATTATCTTCATCTAAGTAGTTTTATTTAAAATTCTTCCTACATTTTCTTAGACTTTTTTTTTTTTTTAATAGCAACAGCAAGGCTGGAGACATGGCTTAGTAATAGAGTACCTGCCAAGCTAGTGTGAGGCCCAGCGTTCAAATCCAGTACTGTAAAAAGAACAACAAACTACCAAAACAGTAACAGTGTCCCTTGCTCACATCCTACAGGTTGTTTGGTGGTATATTCTCCCAAGGCCAAAGTGGACCCATGCTAGACAGGGCAAATGCTTCTTTTTCTCATGTTTACACTCCCAATTGGTACTTTGGTGTCAATTGTTCCTTATTGACTGTGTTATCTGAATTCCCAGCTCAATTGGAAACAGATTTTCCACTTGGCATATCAGTAGCTCCCACCGTGCCATTCATACTTATTCTGTTGTTTGCATTTATTTCTTCTCAGGGTGAAATGTGATGATTAGCTGTATCTTCTCTAATTCACTTAAAGCAAATAGAAATTGAAAATTGGATATTTCCTTGCAATGTCTTGATTATCATTTTGAGCTTAAAATATTATAGAACAAAGTTGGCCAAAGAATGTTCTTTGATATTACTGTCACCTGTTCTGTTATTTTCATGGAATCTAAGACTTGAAACGAGTCTGGCGTTTGCCCAGGAAGACTCTTGAGACCCAAGGCAGTCCATGTATCCTGTGCTTACACATTCAGGGGCTCATTTTTTTTCTCCTTTTTTGAAGGAATAGTTTATAGTTGTTCTAGGTTCTGGAACTCCATTAAGAGCCAGCAACATCAGCAAGGAACAAAGCCATTTTTTTCTGTTTGTCAGCTCTAGATATGTAAAAGAGCATCCTTTGGGGTCATGTTTTATTTAGCCTGCCACAAATCCCTCAGTCTATAGTTTCATCAAGGCACATTTATCGTGAGACTCAAACACTGCCTCTTAAGATTAACATAGATTTGCTGTGGGTTCATTACCCACTTGCCCTTGACCCATTTTGGTTTTTTATAACTTGTTGAATGTGTGAATTAATGAGTGGAGGATAATCCTCATGAATGAATGAATATGTGAATGAAAATCTTCATTCAACCATTGACTCCATCTAGAGAAATTATGTTTTTTTTAAAGTACTTCAAACATACAATAATAGAATATATAACCCTTGCAGAAATCATACTAACACATGTGCTTTAGGTTATTCACTTAGAGACAGAATAGAATTAAAAATGCTTCCAAACCTGTCCTCCCCCAGAGATTGCTACCCTCCATTTTTATTCATGTATTGAATTCACAAGCTGTATAGTCTACTGTTTCATTTGTTTTAAATTTACCAGAAAAAGATACTGATGTAATTTTTTTCTTTTTTCTTTTCTTCTTTTTTGCCAGTCCTGGGGCTTGAACTCAAGACCTAGGCACTGTTCCGGAGCTTCTTTTGCTCAAGGCTAGCATTCTGCCACTTGAGTCACAGTGCCACATCTGGCTTTTTCTGTTTATATAGTACTGAGGAGTCAAACCCAGGACTTCATGCATGCTAGGGACTCTACCATTAAGCCGCATTCCCAGGCCCTGAGTAATTTTAAAAATTTTGATATTATCCTATAATATTTAATATTATCTTAAAGATTCTTATTGTCCATGTTGATACAAATGTATCTGGCTTTTAAAATTTAAACTGTAGTATGGTTTAATTAAACTGTTTACTTACTAATTCCCTTCTTGATGGACACTTGAATTATCCCCCCCCCTTTTTTTCTTCTAATAGGTCCACTTTATGTTATCTAAAGCCCTTAAAGACAAAGGGAATTAAGATTTCTGTTAGGATTCAGGAAATATGTGGCACATGTACCCAAGTTATATAACATTCCTCATATCAGATCAGCACAAATTACATGTAAAATTGCAGGAAGTTCAGGAGTGGTGGCTTACATCTGTAATCCCAATATATCTTGGGAAGCAGAAATCAAGAGGATCACAGTTTGAGGATAGCCCAGGAAAAAAATGAGTCCCCATTGCAACAAACAAGTTGGCATGGTGGTTCATGCCTGTGATTTCAATTACTCATGAAGCTGTAGGTAGGGAGATAACACTCTGAGGCTTGATCTGGGCAAAAACAAGACTACCTGAACAATAAAGCAGAAAGGGCTGGGAGCATGGCTCAAATAGCAGTAGAATGCCTTCTAGGCAAGCAGAAGCTCAAACTCTGTACAGCAGGGGAGGAAAAAAATCTGCAGTAAAGTTTATAGTGTATGGTAGAATAAGGAAGAGACCAAAGATCTGTGTCTGGTCAGTTTTCACTACCCAGTTAATGAAAACTTGGGTTTTTCATAACTTTTTGGGTATTAAAATTATAATGGTGAATTTACTGGCTCGTACAAATTGCTTTGATGAACATCAATATCAGAATATCTCTAGGACTTGTTGCTAGAAATGCAGTGCGGGTCAGTATGGATACATACATACATATATGTGTATGTGTCTGTATGTATTGATCCTACTAGACATCATCAAGATGCTAGTGAAGTATTTCATCAATTTGTCATCCTACCAGCCATCTAAGAGAGTTGTAATTTACCCTGCCCATATCAATTCCTGTGTTTCTGAAGGTTTAAATAAATTGTAAGTCTGCTGGGAGCAGTGGTTTTAACTTGGATTTATTGATTCACTGTTAAAGTAACATACATTTATTGGACATTTGGATTTTCTTTTTTTTTCGGGGGAGGGAGGGTTAAACTTGGTGCCTTGTGCTTGCAAAGCAGGTGCTCTGCCACCTAAGCCATTTCACCAAGCCCTTTTTATGTTGATTATTTTTAAGATAAGGTCTTGGTCTCTGCCCAGATAGGCCTGTACTGGAATCCTCCTGTTGTGTTGGGATGGCAGGTGGATATTGTCTAGACTATCCACTCTGGTCCCCTCAGATTGGAGTGACAGGTCTGTGCCACCTTGTCCAGCCCATTGATTGAGATAGAGTCTTATGAATCTTTTTGACCAACCTAGCCTTGAACCTCAACCTCATTCTCTTGATCACCTGTTGTATTTTGAGACTGAATCTTACTGTGTCACCCAGGCTGGTCTGAAATCTGCTTCATTCTCCTACCTTAATCTCCTAGATTACAGGTGTGCACACTAAACCCAGCTTTTTTTTCCCCCCTGTCATTTGGCCTTTGCTCATTAAAAAAAAAAGTTCTTTACTTTTCTCATTGATTTTTAGCAGTTATTTATATACTCTGGCTATCAATCCTGTTATCAATCTTGTTATCTGCTATAGTTTGTACCATCTTTTATTTTCTGTGATGCCTTTGAGGTAAAGTTTTTGTTTTTTAAATCAAGGTATTCAAGTTGATCAATTATTGATTATATGATGGGGGCTATTTTTTTGGTTTTGAGTCCTTTGACTGAGTCCTTTGGGCTTCAGAATGAGGTTTTTAAATCATCTTGAGCCTGTCCTTCCCTTCCCCTACCTGTGTGTGTGTGTGTGTTTTATATGAAGTGCCTTTTTTTCCCCCCATATGGACACTAACCTGAGCTGTCAATCTATTCTTTTCCAAATTACCAAGTCCCCAACCATGTGTGACTGCTCTGGGCTCTGTTCTTTTGGGGTCAGGGTTACAATTTTTGTTGCATTATCATTTGTCCCTCAGTATTGCTGAATTATAATTACTTTCTTAGAAGTCTTAATAGCAGGTGAGTTTGCACATACTTTTCTTCATAGTTATGTGGCAATTTTTTTACCTACTTCCCCCCACCTTGTTTTTGGTCCTGTCTTATTGACAATGCCACTAACTTTCCAGTTTGCTTTATTAAATCACCATTGCAATTTACCTCACTGTCTATATCTAGGTCTTCAGTAAAGTCTTAATTTTCTTTTCCATCAGTCCTCTCTGTAGCCATTTCCACAGTTACCCTGACCCCAAATGTTCCATATGTGGTTGTCTCAAGCTGACCTACACCAGCCTCCTCCTTAACACTCCCCCCACCCTCCATGCCAAAGTGTCCTAGACTCACAGTTCAAGACAGCTGCCTTGGACTCTGGTAATGATTTCCAGTTGTTTCTAGGGGTCCTAAGTCTTGTCTAGGAGTACTCTGAGAAGTCCTCAGACAGCCTGCCTACTTCCTTAGAAGCCACAGACTAGAGGCAAGCTGAAACTAAATGTGGTCTCCTGGCTAGCCTTGTTAGATTGAATGCTCATGATGGAGGAGAATTGCTTACCTGTACCCCCAGAGGTGGAGATGAAACCTCCTTTGTGCAGGTTGTAATGTAGAGACTATAAGCACTAGGAGGCATTACAAGGGTGACCTTGGCCAGGCTCCTGAAAGCCTCCACAGAATCCTCTGGGGCCTGATGTCAGGGACCAAGCTGTATTTCCAAATGAGATGGCAGCCCCCTTCTATTACCAGAAAAGATGTTTTCCAAACAGGAGATCCCCATCTTTCAGGTCCTTGATCTGGATGGTTGGTTACCTCCACCTGGTTGCATAATCTAGCCACTCCCTCAAGCAGGTCAGCCTGCTTGTAATCTATACGTTGTCCCTTATGCCTTTTACATATTGTTTTCCTCTTATCCCTTCACTAAATTCTATCTCCCTTCTTCAAAGTGGCACTCAGAATCCCTCTAGCCACAAAACTTCCCAGCTTATGCTTCCCCAGCCTCTGCCCTTCATTTGCTTCACACCACTGTGCACAGCTGCTCAGCTTTCTATTTGTTTATTCTTATGTGTGTTGGTTTTTCTCGTAAATCTTCTCAGGGCTTTTTCAGGTCTATCTGGCCTGTCATTCTTAATTACATTGTTTCTCAAGGACAGGGATTATATCTCCTTTGCCCTTTGACACTTGCTAGTACAGACCAGTGCTTAGCACATTGGGTCATAGAACAGAGGGTGGGATTGGCTGGATTCTGGTTGAGGTTTATCACTTATGTGACCTTGAACAAGTTACATAACCTTTCTGGGTTTCAGTTGTTTTGTTTATAAAATGAGAATGATGATAGTACTTTCCTCACAGGGTTATTGACTTAGCAGTGTCTTGAATACAGTAAGCAGTCACTAAATGCTCTCTGTCTGGTAGTATTATTAATGTTAACATTCAGATATTAGAAATCATGCCAAAACCAGTGGCCTAAAGCACCACATACAAATTTCACAGTTCAGAGTGTTGTCAATTTAAATCAGTTATATGTTGGAATCAGAAAAATTATCATTCCTGACTGAAGCGCTGTTGATTATTTCTGTCTCACTCATTTCCTCATTTTGATAGGCAGGTCCACGAGATCCAGTCTCACATGGGACGCCTGGAGACGGCAGACAAGCAGTCTGTACACTGTGAGTAATTAACTATGGAGACCAGAGTCCTTTCTCTGATGACACAGTGCTAAATGGGCTGGGTTTCCTGCCTGCATTCTGCCCTGGGGGCTTAATGATTCTGTATGGAATGAGTTTTGTTGGGTGTGGAGGGCAGACAAAAAAAAAAAACCCTATGGCAAAGTCACTGATTTCCCTGATTGTGCCCTCTGGAATCCCACAAGTCTTATCCCCCATTACCCCTCCACTCAACCTGACATGGTCCTATGAGAATGGAGGTTCTTTTCCCCATCTGTCTTAATCTAATTACTGAACCCTTAGAGGAATGCAGTCCATAAAAATTCAGAGATGTTTTAACTAGAATTGGCCTAGCTGAGAACTCTGACTTTTTAGGAGGATTATTCAGAAATGAATAGCAATATTAATTAGTTTAGTTCCCACACCATCTTTTCTTCTGAGAAGAATGCACATTTTATTTATTTATGTACATACATATATACATATACACACATGTGTGCATATATATGTATTTCCCCCCCCCATTCCAAGGAAAGGCCCTTTTTCTGAGTTAGCTGTATGGATACTCCACAGAAGCTTTTGTCACCACTGCCTGGCTCTCACCATGGACATTTGTTTCCTTGTCTGTCTCCTTTCACGACTCCAAAAGCATCTCTGCATTTGGCTCTGCACCCTAGAGCCTGCTCATTTGAACTGTGTTTGAGACAAGTACAAAGACCTAGGAAGGGGCAGAACCACTGCTGTCACTTCTTGGTGGGGTAAAATGCTCTAGGTACTTTCTTTAGTACACAGTTCAGTTTTTGTCTGTTGGACTTTGTTTGCCTTCCCAACAATCTCATTTTACTTGATGAGAAGTGGAAAGAGGTCATTTTGACTGTCTTATCAAAAGGGTAAGGAAAATGACTATTACATCTTTTTACATCTGTGAATTCTTCCCCGTGTCTTTCCTATTGATATTTGGTCTATTTTGAGAACTCCAACCCAGCTTAGCCTACCCATTCTTTTTTTTTTTTGGTGGGGGGAGGGTGTCCGGTCATGCGACCTGAACTCTGGGCCTGGGAGCTGTCCCTCAGCTCTTCAGCTCAAGGCTAGCGTGCTACCACTTGAGCCATAGCACCACTTCTGGCTTTTTTTTTTTCTGCTTATGTGGTGCTGAGGAATCGAACCCAGGGCCTCATGCATGCAAGGCAAGCACTCTACCACTGAGCCACCTTCCCAACCCAGCCCACCCATTCTTATAGAAAGCCTTGAAGAAATTTGTTTCTATTGTTCCATACTAATCTCTTTTCTCCTTTGTACTTTTTTTTTTCAATTTCATTATTAGAGGGGATTCAGTTGATTCTTTCTTTACTAAGTACTTGTAATCTGTACCTGAGACCAAACTATATCAGAAAATTTAGCCTTAAATTTTTATTTGGGCAAGATTTAAAATATTCATTTTGTAAGTAGGAAATTTATTTCTACAGATTTACCTTTAGCTTATAAAAAATTAGTAATGTGGCTGGGAAGGTAGCTCAGTGGTAAAGTGCTTGCCTTGCATGCATGAGGCCCTGGGTTCGATTCCTCAGTACCACATAATCAGAAAAAGCCGGAAGTGGCTCTGTGGCTCAAGTGGTAAAGTGCTAGCCTTGAGCTGAAGAGCTGAAGGACAGCACCTAGGCCCAGGGTTCTGGCCCCATAACCAATAAGAAAAAAACAACTAGTAATGTGTAGCTATGTATATATAATTATATATATGTTTGTTTGTTTTGTTTTGTCAGTCGTGGGCCTGAACTCTGGGCCAGGGCACTGTCCCTCAGTTCTTCAGCTTAAGGCTAGCACTCTACCACTTAAGATACAGTGCCACTTCTGGCTTTTTCTGCTTATGTGGTGCTGAGGAATCGAACCCAAAGCTTCATGCATGGAAGGCAAGCACTCTACCACTGAGCCACTTTCCCAGCCCTGTAATTATGTATATGTATACACACATACCTGAAACATTTATAGTATACCTTAAAGTTTTTCCATTCATTTGTTGTATATATTCTTCTTTTGAAATACATGTTCTTTAGTTTATTGAATGTGAGACAAGTTTGATTTGTCATTCTAACTTAAGTTCACCATCTCTTTTCCAGCAATTATTCTTTTTTTTCTTTTGTGCAGTGGTAGAAAATGAAATTCAAGCAAGCATAAACCAGATATTCAGCCATCTAGAACGTCTGGAGATTTTGTCAAGCAAGGAGCCCCCTAATAAAAGGCAGAATGCCAAACTGTGAGTGCTAACCTCTAACTTGGCTTTGACACCCCAAGCTTCTCAAGGCAGGCCTTTTTTTTCTAGGAAAATCTATAGGATATTCTAAAAATCTGTGTGCAGATTGAAAAACTTAAGACTTTGCAGATACTTCCCAACCCCTTCCCCAAGAAAGCACAATTCTGAGTAATACCACCTCAAGCCCAAAAAGCCCTGTGAAGTGTGTGCCTTAGAAGCCTTTCTTTCTGTGGTGTCATTTTGAAACTTTGCCTCCAGTTCTGTTTGTCTGGCCAGACTCCTAGTCATTTGAAGCCTACTGCTGCCAGGGAATTTGACTCCGCTGTTGGGTTCCCACTTCATTCTTCTTGAGTTGAGATGTAATTGTGCTTTTAATCACTTCAATCAGTCTATTTATAATGAAATACTTATCTAATGTTTGATACTCCATAAAATTCAAATGCAACCATCCTCACCACTTCCACCCCCAACTCCTACCACCGAAAGTTTTATGGAATTTTATTGATGGCATTACCTCAAAGATAGCCTTGGGCTTCTTCCAGGAAGGTTGATAGAATCCATTGAGGGTCAGAAAGGGTTCATCAGATCTGCTTCCTGTTACTTGCTCACTGGCATGTACCTAGAATCAGACCAGATATTTAAGTACAGCTGCTGGGATTGTGGGTACTCCCACACATTTGAACCATGAGCTACTTTAAACATCATGGATAAACATCTTCTTTCCTAAGTACAAAGCCTAGCTGCCTCCAATTGTGCCACCCTGGATTCCTGGAATTTAATTTCTCTTTCCATTAATTCTAGTCGTGTGGACCAGTTAAAATATGATGTCCAGCACCTGCAGACTGCTCTCAGAAACTTCCAGCACCGACGCTATGCCAGGGAGCAACAGGAGAGACAGCGAGAGGAGCTTCTGTCTCGCACCTTTACCACTAATGTAAGCAGGCCCCAGCTGGGTCAGCAGACACTGACAGGGCTGAGTTCTGGTTGCTGAGTTTCCAGTTTTTACCCTTGAGGAAGGTGCCTCAAGCCAGCTGATGAGAAGGAGACCACTGGAAACAACAGGGGACTTTGTGCATTGCCACTGAGACCAGACCTAGACAAGGAATTTCTTCTTTCAATACAAAGTCTGAAGAGGAAGCAGTTAAACTGAGGGAATGGGCAGAGGTGAAAATTACCTGGTTTGACTGGTCTGATGTAGAGGTGGAAGTTCACATGGTCAAAATGTTTTTGTGATCAGATAGAGACAGATGATTAGAATTTAGACCGTTTGTGGAGACGGCAGCTCCTCAAAGCTGCCTTCAGGCAGTTGCCATTGTGCTGTGTGTGTGGTTCCTGTGGCAGATGCATTAAAATGTTTTTGCCCCTAGTCTGAGCAGCAATTTGAAGGAATTTGTTAACAGATGTTTAGTGTTTGATAGACTGCCTGACTTGAGTCTGTTTGAAAATAGCCTGTTGGTTTACATGTTTGATTCCTTAAAGCCATTGTAGCCATCTAGTCTCAGTAGGACCATTTCCTGCTCATAGCTATAGAATATACTGGTCTGTTTTGTGTCCTATGTAGTGATGTCCCACAAATGAGATGATTTTTTAAAAAATTGTTTCTTGCTGAAAGGTTTCTTTTCTAAAGCTATACTAGCTTTCTAAGCTTGTCATTATGTTTCACTTCATGTCCCATTTTACAGATGTGTAGTTTTTGTTGCTCCATTGATAAGTTGCAGTATGTTTCCCTGAGTGCTTCAGAACCGTCCTGTGTAGTTTTTATTTCTCCAAGAGCAAGCAGTCAGGTCAGGATTAACAATTCGCACATGTAATGCACCATAAGACATAAAAAGACATTGCATGGGCTTTTGATAGTTCCAATGTATTCAGGCACTTTTTAGATAGGGACCATCTCTCAGGATTATTTTGCTGCTTATCACCGTGATGTGATGCTGGGCATATGATAAACCTTTAAGAAATGTTGATTTGCCAAATGAAACTTCTTCCTGGTCGTTTTTCCATAGGAGCTATACTAAATTTTCAGGTAGGAGGTAAGACAGGTTTGAATATAAAAGGCATTTGTAAATATGCCTTTTACATTTAAATTATCGAATAAATGAAGAGATGATTTTTATTGATTTTCTTTTCTTTTTTTGTTTTGTAGCACTGAGGTTTGAATTCAGGGCCTTGTGCTTCCTAAATAGGCACGTTACCACTTGAGCTTCAGCATCAATCTATTTATTTATTTATTTATGTAGTGGTAGGTCTCCAGTTTTCACCTAGGGCCAGCCTTGGACCTTTCTCTTTCTGCCTATGTCTCCTCCGTAGCTCAGATCACAGGTATACCCCACTACATTCACCTTATTTGTTGAGATGAGGTCTTATTAACTTTTTTGCCCTGGCTTTCTTTGAACCTCCATCCTACTTATCTCTGCCTACTGAGTAGCTGAGATTACTAGCGTATACCACTGGGCCTGATAATCTTTTTTTCTTTTTCCTCCTGGTGGGACTGGGGCTTTGAACTTGGGGCCTGTGCTTGCTAGGTAGGTGCTCTTTTACTTGATCCACACTCCCAGCACATGACTTTCTTAAACACTAGAATTTTTTGACCCACTGCACTAGCTGTTCGCACAGCATGAGAATATTAACAAACCTGACTCTTCCTTTGAAGCACTACAGTGTTAGCAGGACCAATTGAAAATGTTTTCGTGAAAGATGGTTCTGAACTTGAACAGTAGAGAAAAAGAGCTTTATTTAACCTCTGTTCCAATGGAAGCTGGGTTTTGGTGGTCCCTATAGCACTCTTGTCAGGATTTTGTGAGGCAAGAAGGAGAAGAGAGCCCTGTTGTAGCTGGCAATGCCTGGCCCCTGCACAGTCTACTTCCAGGGTGAACTTAGTCACCAGGACTGGACTTTTTCTTCCTGCAGCATGATTAAGAGAGCAGGCTCTGCACTCGGTTCTGGATTCCTGCCCCAGTGGACTTTTCTTTCACAGACCTGGGATTGAACTCAGGCCTTGAACTTGCTTGGAGGCACTCTGCAATTTGAGCCCTGTCTCCAACCCCTTTTCACATTAGTTATTTTTAAAGTAAGGTCTTGCTTTAACCCAAAAGGCTTGGGCTGTGTTCCTCCTACTTGTGCCTCCCTGTGTCTGAGGATGACAGGTATGTTCCACTTTCTGCAGCCAGTGGGTTTCCCTTATAGCTGGTTGGCCTTGAACCACAATGCCTAGATCTCTACCTTCTAAGTGGAGAGAATTACAGGCTTAAAGCACTACCCCTGGCTCCTACTGGACTTCTTACCAGCTGTATGTTGTTGGGCCTCATTTTCTTTAAATGTAAAATGGTGAGGATGAGAATACCTGCTTCATAGAGTAGGGTAATGTGCCTATCAAGTAGAATGGACTTGATAAGTACAGGTTGAACATCCTTAATCTGAAATTCCCAAATCCAAAATGCTCTGACATCCAATAGAATGTTTTAGATTTCAGGTTTTTAGATTAGAGCTGCTCAACTGGTAAAATCTATATGATATTCTACCATCTGAAAAACTGAAATTTGAGGCACTTTTGGGTCCAAACATTTCAAATAAGGACTACTCAACCTGTACTCCACCCTCCCCTACTTGTTTCTTTAGCAAACTTTTCTTGCCTGCTCAGGAGTATATTTCCATCTTGAACAGCCTTAGGCATTCAGTAGAAAGCATGATTCCTTTGATCCTTGGTCTCAGTCTAATCAGAAGGATAAGCTACAGATAAAATAGCTAAAGAACAAAAGCAAATAGTTAATACCATATTACAGGGAAGCCAAGTAAAGACACACTTGGAACAGCTGTCTTTGTGAGGATTCAGAAGCCTTTAGGAAACACAGAGTGATATTTTAAGGTGAAGCTTTTCCTTAGTGGGGAATTGATATAGACATAGAAATTAAACAATGCTTGTGTAGCAGAACTTATTTGGAGAGTGACAATTCTGAGAAATTTCCTCTTTTTCTGTGTGAACGGAGGATTCCCTGTACATTTACTTTGCTTTTCTTCCCCATTGGGTTCTCTGATTCTTGTATTGTTTCCTCTGGCAGTTGTGGCTAGGCTCTGGCCAAAAGGCAGAACAGTCAGATACAGTGGCACCCCAGGACCTGATCAGAAAGCCAAGTTAATCAAGTGCCTGTTTCTTTCATAGGACTCTGACACCACCATACCTATGGATGAATCACTGCAGTTTAACTCCTCCCTCCAGAACATTCACCACGGCATGGATGACCTCATTGGAGGCGGGCACAGTATTCTGGAGGGACTGAGGGCCCAGAGACTGACCTTGAAGGTGGGGTCCCTACTGGGGAGCAGGGAGGAGGTGTCTTGTTTTGGCCTCTTCCAATAGTTTGGAACCTTCATTTGCATTTGGATTATGTGTTCTCAGATTGTGTGATTATGATGGCAAGACAGAGCTCTTGAGTTTGTAAACTTTTCTGTTGGATTTGAATTATTGTAAGCCTAAAAGATACTGAATTCCCTTTCCTATTGCTGGAAAGGATCCATAAAGTAGCCTCTTGGTATCCAGATCTTTCCTCATTTGCAACCCTGCATGCAGTTGATTTGCTACTACAGTAGAGGAGCAATAGCTGGCTGAGAAGTTTATCATAGAATCCACCCTCATGAGAATGAAGACATGGCAGCTTAGAATCCCTTAGAATTCCAGCTATGGACTGCTGTCATCTGGGGTCTTTTTGTACTTCAGTGCTGACTCCCCATGAGTGGGGCTTTTAGGCTGTGGAACACTGCCTAGTTAACAAGTCTAAACTCTATAAGATACCTATAGGGCATGTGGCAGTGATTCCTGTGACTTTCCACTCCCCTTCCACCCCCCATTTCTGGGTCTTGAATTCCAGGCCTAGTAACTGTCTCTAAGCCTCTTTGTGCTCAAGGCTAGCATTCTGGGTCTTGAATTCCAGGCCTAGTAACTGTCTCTAAGCCTCTTTGTGCTCAAGGCTAGCATTCTACCACTTGAGCCGTAGTGCCACTTCCAGCTTTTTCTGAGTAGTTTATTGGAGATAGAATCTCATGGACTTTTCTGCTTGGACTGGCTTCAAATCTTAATCTCCATATCTCAGCTTCCTTAGTAGCTAGGATTACAGGCATGAGCCACCATTGGCCAGTGACTCTTCACTCTTTAACCACAGGTATTCTGAAAAGCCCTGTCCCATTGGGACTGCTAAGACTCTGGCCCCCTGGGAGTGGTTATAGGAACACTGCACGTCATAAGGTTTTAGCCTCAGCCCTTTTCCTATGTCAGCCTTGATGGCAAATAGGGTGTAGCTTTTGTCTGTTATCAGGGTGTGGTCCCCAGAATGAAGCACTCCAGCTATGGAGCTGTGAGAAATAGTCACTGGGAAGCCTGAGTTTATCTTAGTTTTTATTGGACCACTTGTCGGCTCCGTGGGCTCCAGTAAGTTTTTGAATAGCTTCTTGCATTTTCCTCCAGGAAAGGTCAGGCAGGCTGCAGTGACACTTGCCTTCTACTGACAGTTGCAGCGTTTCAGATGGCCTGAAAGGGTGCTCCCCTTTCACAACACCTCTGCAGTAATCTAAATGGATGTGTTGACTGGCCTGGCCTTTCTCTAAATAGTCTCTCTAGTCTCTAGACTTTCTTTAAAATCTCTCTAAAAAGCTCTCCTTTCCATAGCTCAGAAAAAGTCAAATCTTTTAGAACAAGAATTCCTGTGACATTAATGCACAGCTGGTGAGGTACCACAAGTGTGAGCTTCTGACTGAAATCTGGCATCACTGGAAGTGCGTATACCTTCTACCAACAACTGGTCATGCTGGAAACTTGTCTGGGTGGTCCTAGGGTTAAACCTTGAGAATTTTACCTCATTTGCTTCTTCTCACCCACTACTTGCCTGTTGATGCTCTCCACCTGCCTCTGCCTGGAAATTATCTAGCCTAAAGTATTTGAAAGTAGCCTAGAAAAGAGCATGAAGGAACTGGACTGAAGCACCTTGATTTCAGCCCATTAATGGCTGAAAGTAGTAACAGTCTTTAAAACTTAGGATCCCTTTCATACTTGATCCATGAATCTCCTACAATGATGAAATCTACACTTTAAGAGTAAGTCAGAATTTTTAGCAAGATTTTGTCACTCACCATTACTGTTATGAAAAAGCACTTCTGGTGTCCTCTGACAGACAAGTTTGATGAGATCTTTCCTTCTAATTTTTGTATCACTAGGGATTGTATGCAGGGCCAGGGCCTTGCACAGGCCAAGCGAGTGCTGTCCCACTGAGCCATATCCTCAGCCCTTCAGGTCTCTGTTGAGACCTGTGAACCCTTGTCTGTACAGAATATTATCTGTTCTTGTCCATAATGCCTCCTATTCTCCCTCATTGGCCTCTTTTTTTCAGTTGCTTGGTAATGTGTGTTCACTTAAGAAAGTAGGCATGGGAGCATAGGCTAGATCCATAATTCCCATTTCACAGGGCGATGTGTGTCTTAAGTGACGTGGGATCTGTTTTGCACTCCCTGACATTTGTTACATGATAAGAAATGGAACATGCTTTTATGATGAAGGGAAGGCTGGAGGTTTGAGCTGTTGGCTTTGTTTTGGTGGTGACATTTATGGAAGGGGCTTTAGATCATTGTGTTGCTGTCTGTTTCTCTCTTGCCTTCTTTTCCCACTTCAAACCTTCCTTGTAAATAAGGACTTTGGCCTACATGTTGCACCCAGTAGAATCCCTGAAGATATTTTCCACAAAGCAAATAAATTAGTGTTAAGGATTATTGGAACTAGGGAACCGAGGAGAACTTTTTTGATGTGGCCTTTAAAAAACATAAAACATTTTAATGTTAATTTTATTTATTGAGTGCCATTTATCTCCAGTGAGGTATATAGATCTTATTTGCATAGTTCAGTGAATTTAAACAAAAGCATCAAGCTTTCATAAGCCCTGAAGATACCTTTGCCCCTTCTAGTTAAACTACCCATCTCTCCCAGGCAACCATTTCTGATTTGTTTCACCACAAGTTAGCTTTGCCTGTAATTGAACTGTATATAACTGTTTCCTTTTTTATGTGGCTTCTCTATTTTTAAAAATTATTCCTGTTATCACATGTGCATAAGTTATGATAATGAGGTCATGTGGATATTATACACACGTGCGCGCGCACACACACACACACACACATACACATGTTGTTGGGTTTTTTGGTGCCTGGGGCATGAACTCAAGGATTGGATGCTGTCCTTGAGCTCTTGTGCTCAAGGGTAGTACCCTTCCATTTGAGCCACAGCTCCACTTCTAGTCTTTTGGTGGTTAAATGGAGATAGGAATCTCACAGACTTTCCTGCCCCGGCTGGCTTCAAACCATGAGCCTCAGATCTCAGCCTCCCAAACAGCTAGGATTACAAGTGTGAGCCACTAGGGCCCAACTGAGGTCCTTTTTATTAACAAGCAATGTTTTGTTAGCATACATATCATAATTTGTTTTCTTTGTTTTCTGGGCTGGAGTTTGAACTTAGGGCTTCATGCTTACTAGGTAAGTGCACTGCCACTTGAACTATGTTTCTGGCGCTTTTTAGTTTTGCCTTTTTTGTTGTTGGTTGTGGGACCTGAACTCTGGGCCTGGGCGCTGTCTCTCAGCTCTTCAGCTCAAGGCTAGCACTCTACCACTTGAGCCACAAGTGCCACTTCTGGCTTTTTCTGCTTATGTGGTGCTGAGGAATTGAACCCAGGGCCTCATGCATGGGAGACAAACACTCTACCACCGAGCCACCCTCCCAGCCCTGTCTTTTTTTTTTTTAATAGATTCTCTTTTTTTTTTGGCCTGGGCTGGCCTGAACTATAATCTTATTTATACTTGCAAGTAGCTGGGCTCCAAGTGCATACCACTGTGCTCAGATTTTTTTATTGGTTAAGAAGGAGTCACATGGGCTGGGAAGGTGGCTCAGTGGTAGAGCACTTGCCTTGCATGCTTGAGGCCCTGGGTTCGATTCCTCAGCACCACATAAGAAAAAAGCCGGAAGTGGCGCTGTGGCTCAAGTGGTAGAGTGCTAGCCTTGAGCTGAAGAGCTGAGGGACAGCGCCCATGCCCAGAGTTCAGGCCCCACGACCAGACCCAAAAAAAAAAAGAAGGAGTCACATGAAGTTTTTTCCGGGGCAGATCTCAAAACACGTCCCTCTGGATCTCAGCCTTATGAGTAGTGAAGATTATAGGCATGAGCCTTTGTGCCCAACTCCCATAACTGGTTTGCATATCTTCTAGTTAAAGGATACTTAGATTATTTCCAATTTTTAGATACCTTTTTTTCCCTAGAAGCTTTACCGTAATTTTAGCTTTTATGTTTAATTCTATGATCCATCTTGAATTTTTATATATAATATGAACCAAGGTTCTTTTTTACGCATAATACATACAAAATATATATGTACATATGTGATATATCTATGTGATAACTTACTTTGTAGCCAGTTGTTTCAGCACCACTGTCTAACAGACTTTTCTTTCCCCATTCCATTGCCCTGGTACCTAGATCGAAACCAATTGATCTGGTTTGGATATTGTTTTCTCTGTGTGACATGACCTTAACAATATCATTGGTAAAGCCCCACATTTACCCTTGGCAATTTGGGTTGATTTTTTTTCTTCTCCTCTTTCCTGCTTCAGGGGACTCAGAAAAAGATCCTTGACATTGCCAACATGCTGGGCTTGTCCAACACGGTGATGCGGCTCATTGAGAAGAGGGCCTTCCAGGACAAGTATTTGATGATTGGAGGGATGCTGCTCACCTGTGCTGTCATGTTCCTTGTGGTGCAGTACCTGACATGAGGCAGCCTTGCCCAGCGCTAGACAATACTCCCACTGTGTGAGAGCGTGCAAGAGTGTGTGTATGTGCGTGTGAGGGAGAGGAGGCCCTTTTAAATGTATGCCTGCCTTAACTGTGAAACCCACTTGGGTATAATTGTGACCCAGTTTCAAACCTGCTCTGTTCGCTGTGACATCCTGGAAAGGGAGTTAGTGTCACCAAGATGCATGGTGCTTAGGAAATGTTGTCCAGCTCTCTCTTGATGGGGGAGGGAAGGGATGGCTTTGTCACACAATTGCAGTCTTCCTTGGAAAGCTTCCGCAATGAAGCTTGCATGCAGACTGTTCATCTCGTCATCATCCAGCATCTGAGTCCTAATGGACAGGCTGGAGCACAGGCAAGAAGAAAAGGAAAAAGACCTTCTTTCCCTGCATCTGCTGGGGTGGATCAGTTTCTATACTTGCTTCTAGCCACCACCCCAGTCTCCCCCTACTGCCACTCCTACCCCTGCTTAAAACAACAAGAAGTAGATGACTTAACTACTAACACTCGTCATCCTTCCCTGGAAGCTGCTACCCAGGGGAAGCAGGCATTGGAGCTATTGCCAATAGTGTGTAAACCTTACCACATTATGGCTGTTACTGGATGCTTTTCCTTCCTGAGGTGAGGCCAGTGTTGTTCTCTGGGAGTGTTAAGTGTCTGAAAAAAGATCCAAGTCACTGATTGTTTCTAGTCATCACTAGAATGAATGATCAGCTCTTACGATCCAAAGACTTGAGGTTGGTGCCCAGGCTTCAGTGGATCTTTCTTTTGCCCCTTAGAAAGTAGTGAGTGAAGGCTTAGAGATCAATCAGTCACAGTCGCATCTGTAGTTCTTTGGCTTTCTTCTCCTTGGAATACGTTAGCACCCATCAGCTCCCCAAATCTGTCTAGCTAGGATAGGCCACTGTGGAGTTGTCCCTGTGTGGATGCCATGGACTGGGTTGGACCTTTTTATTTCTCTCCCAAGGTTGGATTAAGGTTGCACCAATGTAATAGTATGTTGTGGAATTATTAGAAAGCCAGTCTTTCTTGAAGTCCATCTAATGTGATTAATTGCTGAAAGTATCAGAAAGACATAGAATATTGTCCTGCTTGCCCTACCAACCCTAAGCTCAGCCTTGTGGTAGGATAAACTATGACTCCCTCTTTTTGAACTGGAAAATTGATCAGTATTAATGCTGCCTTCAGTGTCTTGTCATATGTACTCCTGCCTTTGTCCCTTGTTTCTTGAACTGTCTTCTGTTTAGTCCCTCCTCCCCCTACTACACATTTCATTCCAGCTCCTTTTCATACTGTAGCAATATCAGTCTCTTCTCACACCTTTGTGGTATAGATCCTCCAGTGAATTTTCTTAACTGCCATAGATTTTTAACATGAATTTCGTGGGTACTAATTTCACATTTCTGGTGTGATTTCCATCATTTCTATCTGTTTGGGCCAAACAAGCCCTAGATGTCCAGGAAGAAAGAATCTCTGTCTCCTTCTAAAAGGGATTCACAGCCCTGCAGAGTGAAGACTGTGGTGGTGGGCACAGGGCTTGCAGCATCTTTAGACTGTAATCTGACTTCAGGGAGATACACTTTGAAGATTTTATCATGCCCAGCTCAGAGCTCTTGGTGGGCCATAAATGGAGTTTTAGACTGTACAGACCTGGTTCTTCTGCCACCTGGGTTCCTGAGAATCCTGCCAGGGCAGCACACTTTGGATTGTAGCTGAGCCATCTGGATTTGAACTCGAAGGCAGATCAGCCCCCTCACCCTACTCCCAGCCCTACAGTGTGTATCAGTTTCCACACTTTGTGGTGATGGACCTTTGTGCTGTACCCTCAAAGCCTGAGATCTCCCTGTTTTGGAGTAAAGTATGTGGAGTTAGGGGCTAGGAGGAAGCAGTCTTTCAGGAGACCCCAGGACACCGAGATTGCTATTGTCACATGACTACCCTCCCATTGTGTTCATTGCTAATACACCTTGTCCTGGCTGTGTGCAGCTGGGGAGGGAGTGCCCTCTAGTGGGCTTAGATGAGTTCTGACCTGGAAACCCAAGCAGGCAGCCTCTGCCCCTGGCAACAGGAGCTAGGTGCCTTTTGTAGATTTGAAACAGGTGGGTTGCTAAGAGGAACTTGAACCTTCTTTATTAAGTGGACATGTACCCCAGGTCTGGCCACTTTAAGAAAATTCAAATTCAAAAGACCAAATAAACAGTCTCAATTTTGTAGGTTTCACTGCTGTTTTTTCCCCCTTCTTGCCCTTTTGAATTTAGATGGGTTTAATTTGCAACTTTGGATGAACATTTATTGTCTCGAAAACACCAGCTAAATAAAGTCAAAATTTATTTTATTTAGAAAATTACTTTGTGAAAGCATTTGATACTCACTGTTACGACTGTCCTCCTCTTCTGTTTCCAAGCAAGAGGCTCTCAGAGGACAGGCAGGGTGGCTGCCTCAAAAGAAGCTGAGAAACCTAAAATTACAGATTCCTGGGGCTTATCCCAGACCTGAGTCAGAACATTTTTTTAAGTCTCTAAAGTAATTGTAATGTGCATATTTTGGAGCCACTGTCTCTTAGACAGAAGGCTTTTGTCTTAATCACAGATGCTAACTTTGGGAAATATATCTGGAAGTAGCTCAGCAGGTATTTGTGAAAGGCAAGACATGTTAAGTCCAAGATAAAGCTTCTGTACAGCCAGCCTTATTCTGGAAGAGTGAAGGTGAGTTAGGGGAAATAATTAGGAGCTATAGCTATAGCTCAATGGTAGGGTGCTTGCCTGGTACTCACAGGCCCTGTATTCTATACGTAGCCCCACAGGGAGAATTTTCAGCAAGGAAATAACTAAATAAGGAAATATTAAAATAGTGGAATATAAATTGAGGACTACAAATAACAGCAGGATGTCAACATGGAAAAGAAACTCAAATGCAAGTCTTAAAGCCCTGCAGACACCTTATAAAATCCTTCCTGTAGCCTTGGGTCCAAAAGCTACAGCAGAAGTGTGAGATGTTTTTGCCACATGGGGCGTGTGCATGTGTGTGCAGGTGCGCGTGCGTGCGTGCGTGCGTGCGTGTGTGTTTTTCACCTATGTTCAAAGACTGGGTTAGCACTGTTGGCTTACACATAGTTGTCAGGCAGTTTGTCTCTCTGCTCCCCCATTAACTTCCCAAACCCTCTGAGTTAGGTCCTATATCATTGCTTTTATGCAGACAAGGGTAGCTTTAGTGATTCTGAAGGCCTCATAGGGAAGCTGGCTCCTTGTCTGGCTAGACCATAGCCCAACCTCTGTACCAGTCTGCCTCTCACATTCCCCTGGAGATGCTCTGCTGGTGTAGGCCAGCCAGGGGAATGGGACCATGGAGGCCTACCAGCATCCATTACAGAACTCCTAAACATTTGTTGCAGGCCATTCCACAGATTATGGATTCTCAAACTAATTGAAAAGGCAAGGATTGGGAGAGCATTTGGAGCACCTACCTTCAAGTGGAGGGTGAGAATATACCCATATCTTGTCACCAGGGGGAGACATAGTGCTACCTATTGCTGATCTGGCCATAGTTCCCACTCTGATTTGGCAGAGTTCCTTTAGGTCCAAGTTTTCTTGCAGAACATTGGCTCTGGGCTAGCCCCTGAGCTCTAACTATGGTCAAAATTGACTTTAGAATCCCCAGCTAGACCCTAGGATTTGCCTTCTCTCAACAGGCAGACACACCACAAACAAACCTGGAAAATATTTCTCAATGTAGTGGTTATTCTTCCTCCCATTTCTGTGTGTGCATGCGTGTGTGTGTGTGTGTGTGTGTGTGTGTGTGTAAATCTATCCAGTACTTAGCCCATTGAGTGCAGTTGGTAAGTTCCTGTCACGGACCTCTGTGACGGCCCTTATCTGCTTCATTTCTGTCCCTCTAGCAACAGGACCCCCTTGGGAACTTTTAGAAATACACATATGAGAGTATTTTATCTTGGTCTCTTATTAACTGGCAAGGGTGCAGCCTGAGTATCACACATTGGCTGGATGATTTTAATGTATAAGTGTGGCCTAGAGCAGCTAAAACCATCCCAAGGCCAGGGCCATTGCCAGGTACTTCCCTCCTGACTACATTGGAGAGCTATTGCTCAAGGCCTGCTGGAGTGGGTTAGAAATCTGTCCATCTAGCATGGAGAGGAGTCAGGTGTTTGCCCAGTGGGTGTCACCTCAGTAATTGATGCTGCTCTCTCTAATTAGTGAAGTTCTGTGGTGTGACAGGCCAGTCCTTTCCTGCCTATCCAGTGTACCTCTCAGTCCTCTCCGTCACACTCTGCCCAAGGCTCCAAGCATCTGGACTGCCACATTTGCATAGCTGCCCGTGACACATGATGTTTTCTTTGGCCTGTGTTTCATTCAGCCCCTTTCAATCCCACGTCTCCTTCAGGAATCCTGCCCACTCCTGTGCCTCCAGGATGGTCATTCCTCGTTACAGGAGAGTGTAGCCCCCACTTCTAGTGGGTGGGTTGGAGCTCTTGGCTCAGTGGCCTCTGTGAAGGCACTTGAGCACAGCCCAGGCAGGTAACAGACTTAGAAGTAGTGCCATGGTCCAGCCAAAGCTGTTGCAACCAGGCTTGGAAAAATCCAGAAGATTCAAGGTTGCTGATGCTATAGGCCACAGATTCCTAGGCCTTTGGTAACAGTAATCGGTAAAGTAAAAGGGAAGAAGGTGCAGGACCCCATGAGGGAAAAGTGTCAGCCAGATCTGGGGGCAGTTTAAGACAATGATGGTCTTTTCTGGGTTTTAAAGCTGAAAATCCAGAATCCTTACAGCCCTCTCAGTTTGGAGTAAACAGGACTGTTGGCCACCCTAGATAAGCTAAAGTCATGACTGAGGCAGGGCAATGAGAGGAGGGACTTGGCCTCTGAAGCCAACTCTATTAGCACAGTCTCATGGCCCCTCTTTGGATGTCCAGTTCATGGAGGCTCCCCCTGGAAGGCTGGTAGAGGCCTGACTGGGCTCAGGAGAGAGAGTGAGTCACAGCGCTGAACAGTCCTTCAGTGCCTAGTTCCAGAACCCAGCAAATGCCCAGCACTCCAGGGGGGATCCAGCAGGCTTTGCAGGGATTATGGAACAGCGCTAAAAGCCCAGACACGACAGTAGAGCCTGGCTTCCAGTCCCAGCTTGCTGGCAGCAGCCACCTGTAAAGTACTTTTCTCAGCTTCAGCTTTCCTCTTACAACAGTGTACTTGTCCCCTGGCCCTTTCCAAATGAGCATGAAGCCTAAATGATCTTATGTTCCTGGCAGCCTCCAGAGATATAAAGCAGTGATTCTCAACCTTGGCCACTTCCTGGAATCCTAGAGGAATTAAAACAGAAAAAAGTCTTGATTTGGGGTCTCTTCTCCAGAGGTTCTGAGCTATTTACCCTGGGGCAAAGCCTGGCCTTTGAAATTTTGATGGAGATTAAAACCAGGAGTGTTCTTAATCCTTCCAGGTGTGAAGTGCTATTGATCCTATTTAACTGGCCCTGTTCACATGAAAGATCCAGAGGACTAATAACAAGGGTTCAGGGATAGGGCTGGGAAGGTGGCTCAGTGGTAGAGCACTTGCCTTGCATGCCTGAGGCCCTGGGTTCGATTCCTCAGCACCACATAAGCAAAAAGGAAAAGTGGTGCTGTGGCTCAAGTGGTAGAGTGCTAGCCTTGAGCTGAAGAGCTGCCCAGGCCCAGAGTTCAGGCCCCACAACCGGACCCCCCAAAAGGTTCAGGAATGATGGCTGGGTGTGGCTGTCATGAGCAGTGATTTGGAAGGGCTTTCTAGAGATAGCGATATGATGGAGGTCTATTGAGTTTGGAAGAGAGGAAGAGTGGGAAAGGCTGAGTGGAAGGACATGACGCATGGCCTGTGGGAGTTCATAAGCTCTAATCAGCCTTCAGCGGCTGAAGACAGCAAGGGAAGTGGTCGGAAGGCTGACCTACCATCTGCGAGGCTCGCAAGCTTCCTTGAGTCAGCTTGGAGACCATGGAAGAATGGGCTGTTGCTCAGATGGCCAAGAAGTCTGAGTCTTTGGTAAGTGGTTAATTCAGATGAGCAGTCCTGGCCTGTGCATAAGGGAAGCAGTTCCATTTTCCCTTCCCTTCCCAACCTGGGCAATTGGTGCCACGTGGGCAGAGTTTATTCCCCCGACTCTATTCGACCCTACCCCCTACCCCCAGGGCTTTTCTGCACCTCTGCTAAGGGCATCCTGTGTTCAGAGCTCAGGTAAGAGCCCAGGGAGTGAACATCTCTGTAGGAGGGCAAAATAATCTTGCTGCCCAGGATCTCTGCAGGTTGTTGTGGAAATGGAAAGATAAAGCCATAGAGATAACACCCTGTTCTCCTGAGTGCCAGCAAAATTCTCGTTGCTATATGCAGGGAGGGAGTCGTTCATTCAGAAACCAATTCTTTTGCTGCCTCTCTCACCTCAGTGAGGGGCTCCAGAAGACCCTTTGGCAGGCAGCCCCAAGTGCTGAATTACAGGAGGGGAGCTGAAACCATCTCCTTAGATTAACAACAACAACAACCTTGTAATAATTGTTTTAAGATCACTCATCTGGTTTTTTTTTTTTTTTTTTTTTTTTTTTTTTTTGGGTCCGGTCGTGGGGCCTAAACTCTGGGCCTGGGTGCTGTTCTTCAGCTCAAGGCTAGCGCTCTACCACTTGAGCCACAGCACCACTTTTTCTTTTTGCTTATGTGGTGCTGAGGAATCGAACCCAGGGCCTCATGCATGCAAGGCAAGCCCTCTACCTCTAAGCCACCTTCCCAGTCCCAAGATCATTCATTTGGAAGTCATCCATTTGCATGTAATTAAAGATGTGGGAGGCCTTGGTATTCACTTAAGGAAAAAACATAGTTCAAGCTTAGTTTTGTTTCTTTTTAACATAAAAGATCAATAATTAACAGAAATGTCAGGAGGCAACAACTTGGGTGCCAGACCTGTGAAGTAGATAGAGAGATCAGAGCAGGAGAGAGAGGCTTTCTGGAGGAAGGGGTGGGGTTGGAGATGGGGAGGAGAAAGCTGGGCTGAAGGGAGGAGTGGGAGTTCAGTTCTTGGCGCCTGCTCCTCACTAGGAGTAATGGAGGGAAGGGTGGGAGGCCTGGAGTGAATGCACAGAGATCCTTAGGCATCACCCTGAAACCAGAAAAGTTGGGGAGGGATACAGGAAGGGCAACGTGTAAGTCCATGAGGATGTTCTAGGCTGCAATTAAAAAAAAAATAAAACAACAAAAAACACAGTAGCTTTGTCAATCAGAACCTCTGGGTATGGGATAGTTTTTCAGGGGTGACTGGTTTAGGCTCAATGATGCCAACAGGCTTGGACCTACCTGGGTTCCCTGTGCA